GCCTACCACAGTGTCTAGCATACATTAGGAGATTAATGCAGATTGTGGAATGAAGATTTAAAAATTTAGTGCCTTTTTGACAGTGCAATCTATTGTAAATTTTCAATATGGCCATGACTTAGTTATATAGTTATTGCTCATCCTGAATAGCAATACTGAATAAGCATATATGGGGAAATCTCCCAAGAACTAGTGTTTAGGCAAAATTGAATTTTACAGGATCTCACTTCTGTGAGAGAGAGAGAGCGAGGGGAGAGGAGGAGAAGGGATGGGATGGGAGGAAAAGGAAGGGGAGAGGAGAGGAAGGGAAAAGAGACCCCTTTGGCTGGCAGAGGGGATAAAGGTCTGGTAAAACTGCTTACACTGATTTTATTTACTGTTAAAGCCTTACCTGGGCTCCTTATTTTTGAATCAATAGAGATATCTATGAGCTTTCCCCAAAGAATCTTTAATGCTAATAAAATAGTAACAAAAGCAAAAGTTATTTGAAAGGCAAATCGCTTTGATAATCTTCTTTAGCTTAACTGGAGTAATTGGAAGGATGGTTAATTTATATATCAACCAGCCAACAAATATTTAATGAGTGCTTCCTGGATGCTAGGTATTCGTAAAGGTAATATAGTTGACATTTGGTCACTAATCTTAAAGGGCTCATGAACTGGTTGGGGAGCTGATACCAATGGACCTACAACAAAATACCTCACAGAAAACAGGAGCAGAGCAGTGATTTTCCCATAGTTCAGCGATGTTCTAGAAACAGTGCTGTCTTCCTGACAGAAATGAATAATGGCAGCCTGTTTCTCAGTTTATGAACTGATAAAGAAAAAAAATGGTTATTAGAAAAAAATCTCTACTTTAGATTTTTATTCTATACATCTTCCTTACCCATTGGTGTTTACTACCATTTATCTCTTAAATAAGATGGTAAAAAATATCTAAATCTGTACGAAACACATATGGAAAGAAATGTTTCTGAAGTTGCTGAGCACTCAATTTCCATAGCTTCTTATTTTCAAGGACATATACTCCTGGTTGTAAATACTCCTGGTTGTAATGTTATGTTTTATAAGAAGCAGTGATTGTTTCTTCTGGGAAAACTGTTTCTAGTTTGTAGAGTGAATGAAATATATCAGTATTTATGGTGTCCTTCCCAGATGACCATAATTTTCGATTCTTTCACTACTGAAATAAATTGGGGAAACAAGCAAGTGTATAAGCACATGTTAAACAGAATGAGCAAACAATTTTACCAATTCTGTCTAGTTATAGCCTGATGTTGCATAGAGGCTGTAAGGCTGCTAATGCTGCAAACAAACGCTCAGACAATAGGTACATCAATGAGAGCAACACGGTCTGAAAACGTTTTCTTGACATATACGGTACCTGAAATAGTCTGGAAGGATAAGCCAAATCTGGGGAAAGTACTTTGAAAATGCAGTGGTGGTAATGTTAAATGTACAGCCATATTTTAAATAATTTTGTTTTTTCAAGTTGGTAAGGTGATATATATGTACATTGCAAAAATGAATAAATAAACAAATAAACTACTAAGACATAGAAAGAGGAAAACAACCCTACTACTTGAGTGGAATATTACTAACATTTTGATGTATTTTTTTTCTGGGCATTTTTTAACAGCTATGATCAACTGCCTATATATAATTTGGTATCCCGGTTTTTTCAGTTAAGATGAGAACTTAATTTTTTTCATGTTAATAAAATCTGTGGATGTGGTATCTTTAATGGCTGCATAATATACCACTGTAAAGATATAGCAATCTATATGCCAATTTCCTTATTACTGTACATTTAGGTACAAGTTTCTCATTTTTCACTATAATGAGCCTGAGGTGAACAGGGTAGTGGAACCACTTTTTTTTTTTTTTTTTAAAGTATATTTTTATTGATTTCAGAGAAGAAGGGAAAAGTAGAGAGCTAGAAACATCAATGATGAGAGATAACCATTGATTGGATGTGCCCTGACTGGGAATCAAACCGTGACCTCCTGGTTCATGGGTCAATGCTCAACCACTGAACCATACCAGCCAAGCTGAAACCACTCTTTGTGGCTCTTGGGTCTTGACCTCTCCTCGGTCAGTCATGTGGTTGGGGGGGCCTGACCCTGTGCCAGGAGTGGGAGCCATGCCACTGGCCATCCAGGTTGCTTCAGGGGTGGGCAAATAACCGTTTAAAAAAGGTAGTAAGACACTCCTCCCTCGGAAGTTTCCTTTCAGAGGTGGATTTGCTATATGTGGCACCAGAATGCTTCCCAGTGTGTCAGGTAAACATAGCACGGTACAGTATTCTGGTTGGAATCATTCAAGGGCACAGGGAATGGAACTCAACAAAAAGAGAAAGAGAGAGCCTGATCTGTTCAGAGAATAGAAATGAAAAAGAAAGGATCTATCCGAAGCCAGGACAGAATTTATTTCTGGAGAAAAAGCTGGTAAAATAAGAATCCGCATAGAAAAATAAACGTATTTTAGGATAGGAACATTTCATAATTGTTTATTTTGTTGATACATTTTATATTCTGTGATAAAATGTGTAGATTAGAAAGGTTGCTGGGTCACCCAATATTAGCTGAACCCAAATCCTCAAGAAAAAACCTCACTACCTGAAGGTTTTTGAGTGTTCAGCCTGCATACAACCTCCACTCACACGTCTAAATGCAAGGACCAAGAGGGAAAGAAGGCAACCAACCTCTAAGGAATTTGAAATCAAGGAAAAGTACTTACTGCTATCAGAAGAGACAAGCCCAGTTTGGGTTGTCCTGAATCCTGTGAAAGGCTGAAAAATATGGTCATACTCTCATGAAGTTTGAATGAATTTAGTGAATTCTGGAATCTTCGGTTCTTTACTGACAAAAATAAGCCTAAATGAATAAAAGTTCATGGATCCCTGCTATCTTTCTAAGTGACCAACAGTGCTTGTACCAGTGAGATAATCTTGGAGGAAAGAGCCGAAACCGGTTTGGCTCAGTGGATAGAGCATCGGACTGCGGACTGAAAGGTCCCGGGTTTGATTTGGTCAAGAGCATATACGTTGGTTGTGGTCACATCCCCAGTAGGGTGTGTACAAGAGGCAGCTGATTGATGTTTCTCTCTCATCAATGTTTCTAACTCTCAATCCTTCTCTCTTCCTCTCTGTAAAAAAATCAATAAAATATATTAATTAAAAAAAAAAAAACTTGGAGGAAGGAATTTGGAACTCAGAGATCACACTGAAGGAACTTCTCTCTGGGCCCATGGGAGACAGACTTGAGTCTTGCTGTCGTATGAGGCTCCTAACGGGAAAGCACAGAGACGTCTGATGCACATGCAGTGCTGAACCAGGCTTTAATTTAAAGCAAAGTCCCTGGGCACAGCGCCTGTAGCATTGTTACCCGCTCCAATGGCTGGCAGGTTGCCGGTATTTTATATACCACTGCTGAAACACCAGAAAGCAGTTTGACTCTTCTTTAAAAAAGAAAAAAAGTGAGTGGATACAAATATTTTTTTAAAAATATATTTTATTGATTTTTTACAGAGAGGGATAGAGAGTTAGAAACATCGATGAGAGAGAATCATCGATCAGCTGCCTCCTGCACACTCCCCACTGGGGATGTGCCCGCAACCAAGGTACATGCCCTTGACCAGAATCAAACCCAGGACCTTTCAGTCCGCAGGCTGATGCTCTATCCACTGAGCAAAACCAGTTTCAGCTTTGAAGTGGCTATAAGAATACCTGCAATAAAATAAAATAAAAATACCAATAAAGCAGGCACAGGAAAATTAGTGATGGAAGAACAAGGTCAAAGGAAGAGCTAAGATATAATAGAAATGAATGCCATGTGGACCCACCCACTTCCTACAATGATCTGCAAATGTGGCTTTGAGTTTCCTGCGGGCCAAGGCACTACTAGCAGCATGAGCTCTTGACAATTCATACTGTTCATGAGGCAGAGGCATATCTGGGGGTTAGTGAGGAGGGTGGGGGAAGGAGGAAGGAGGGAATTTCCCAGATATGAATATTTAGTAACTAATTTCGTTTTGGATGTCTCTAAGCTGCTTTTATAACAATTATTACTTTTCTTTATAAGGCACTTAATACTTTGCAGAGTAATTTCACATACTTTCTTTAATCGGCACAAAAATCCTATGCTGCAAGATTTGAGGGGAAGGTGTTATTAAAGCAGTAATGTAACTTTCATTCATGCATCAAGGAATGTTGCCTCGCTGGAAGCACAGTGCAGAAGCAGAAAGCACGCAGGAAGATCTCTGAGACAAACAACTCCAAGTGCATACACAGGAAAGCACCTCTCTCTCAGAACCTGTACTCCCCATGGAACCTGACATTCTAACGAGGTTAGAAGCCACAGCAGATGAAAACTAACAGAATAGGGGCCATTACAGGGAAACACTCTGAAAGCCCTCCAAAATGGTATGTACGGAAGCAGAGGCAAGAACTAAAAAGAAAAGAAAAAAAAAAAGCAAAGGAGCAGGTCATGTAGAAACAGAAAACGCTGAACACTCACCAGCTAGCACAGGCAGGGATGTGTCCTGGGCTCAGTCTCTCTGGTCTACACCCTGCCCTTCCTGATTTTTAAAAAAAATTTATTTTTATTTTCTTTTTTTCTTTTTTTTAAAATTTCTTTATTGATTATGGTATCACATAATTGTCCCCATCCCCTCATTCCCATCCCAAACCCCTTCCCACATATGCCCACCCCCGTTGTCCATGACCACCGGTTAGGCTTATATGCGTGCACACAAGTCCTTTGGTTGATCTCTTCCCTTTGTCCCCACCCTCCCCTACCTTCCCTCTGAGGCCTGACAGTCTGATCACTGCTTCTCTGTCTCCAGGTCTGTTTCTGTTCATCAATTTATGTTGTTCATTATTTCCCCTAAATGCGTCAGGTCATGTGATACAAGGAATTTTCTTATAAGAACCAAAACTGAGACAAGCCATAATGGTTTTGCTGAGAGACATTTTTTCCTATTTTTAAAAATTTTTTTACTAGCCGTTTCCTGCATGGTTTGTCTCCTCAGTCACTGTCCACAGGACTCTGAGAAGTTGTAGGAATATGCAGGCGCAGACTCAAGGCCCGACTTTCTCTCCAACGTTGTGGAAAGGGACTGTCCATCATGGGGCAGAGCCCTTTGCTCCCATACGCCACCTGGACAAAGCCCGGGGAGGGTGACCTCCCGGGGCATCCACGTTGGGCTTCCTGAGTTTCTTACACAGCCACCTCCCCGGCACTGCAGACACTGATGTGATCAGGACCACCCGCCAGCTCCCAGTTGCTATGGCCTTCAGTGACCTTCCAAGGCGTGTACTCTAAGAATTAAAAATCCTGACTTAAAACAGCCCACAGGGTCCTGCAGGCTCTGCCGGCGGCCGCCTACCTCTCCCGCCCATCGCACACTTGCTGTCTTGAGCCCCACCTGGTGGGCTTCCGCACATTTCTTCTCTCCTGAGCAGCCTGAAATGGCATTTCCTTGGAAAGCCTTACCTAACCCGGAGTCCAGATTGGGTTTCCTGGGGAAGCCTTACCACCTTTGCAATGGAGAATTTATCGTGGCCGCACTTAGCCTGATTGGTTAATGCCTGCTTCCTCCAGGGCACTGTGAGCTCTGGGAGAGCAGGGACTGTCTCTGGAATACATGCCTACTAAATATTTACTGAAAAAATGGATATCACAGGACAAGCACGATACATCTGCCTAAAATAGAATCGTTCAACTTTACCAAAAGATCTTTTGGGAGAAGGGGAAGCTGTTGTGTGTGTGTGGTTTTTTTGTTTTTTCCTTATTAGAGAGAAAAAAAAGATTTATTATGGAGTACAATGCAAAATTCATACGAATTTTAAGGCATATATATATACACACACACACACACACATATATATGACTTTGAGGATGCTTAAGCACAATGCCCCCGATTTTTCTGGAGGCATTGTGCTTAAAGTAATATGGAAAGACGGTCTGGTAAAAGATCCATTTCCAACGGAATCTGGATCATCAAGGCTCATCTTCATTTTACTAAGAGTATGTATATGAAGAGGGCTTTGCAAAGTATAAGGCTTTGTGCAAATATACTAGTAACTTATTATTACTGAGAAACCTGTGTCCTGACGGGGAAGGGAGGAGGGGGTAGTGATTTGGCTCCTATTACCCCGCCAATGACAGGGGAGGCTGGCGCCAGAACCCAGGTCTCCCGTGGCCTGTCCAGCGCACTGCTCTTCATAAAGGCACAGACAGCACCTGCCACCTGCTCCCTGCTGCAAAGGTCCCCTCCCTCCCTCTCAGCCCCATCGAGGGCTGATGCCCTGAGCCAGGCTCACATGCACGTTAAGTCCTGATCTACCAGAACGGAGAAGTGGGCAGAAAAATCAAGCCGAGCTTCCCCCCTCCCTCCCCCAATCATCATCCAGAAGCTCTCCCTGCTTTGCCTGCAAAGACTGGGCAGTTCCCCACCCACCAAAGCTGAAAACGCTACCAGCGCGGCTCCGGTCCAAACCCGAGCGGCTCGCCCCCTAGCGGCGGAGGCGCGCACTGCAGCAGCGCCTCCCCGCGACCACGTCCACCCCCGGTTCGGAGGGCGCCCCCCGGGCCGCGGGCCGGGAGGTGCGGGCGGCATGTGAGGAGCCCGGGAGCGGCGGGAAAGCTCCAAGTCACTGAGGGCTGAGAACACCCCGCAGGAGCCCACGCGGCCGCCCTGCTCCGTGGTCCTGCAGCGCGCTCTGTCCCTGCGCTCAGAGGTTGGCCACCGCCGCTGCTGCTTCAGAAACCGGGGATCCCCCTTAGGCTGCGGCCGAGGAGGGTGGAGGTCCCCGTCCATCCCCTCGGGCGGGGGATGCGGCCGCCTTTCCCGCAGCGTGCTTCCCGGACTGGGGCTGGAAGAGGGATTGCGGCGGGGAGCGCAGGCGACGGGCGGTGCGCGAGGGGGCGGCGAGAGGGACCCGCGCCCCGCACGCCCACCCGCACCCGGTCCGGGGCTGGGGCTCCGCGGGGGACCCCGCCCCGCCGCCTCGGGCTCGCGCCGCGCGCGCACGCGGGTGGGCGTGGGCGGCGGGGGCGCCGCGGGCCCCGGGCGTGTGTGCGCGCCGCCCCCCGCGCCCTCCCCCCGGAGCCGGAGCCGGAGCGGGCGGGCCGGCTCGCCGGGTGCGCGTCACGCGCGGGGCGGGCGGGCGGGCGGGGAGCCGGGGGTGGGGCCGCGGGACCGACCGGAGGGGCCGGCGCGGCGGCGGCGGCGGAGCCCGGGCCGGCGCGGGGCTAGGGCGGCGGCAGCAGGAGCGGCTTTGGCGGAAGATGGTGGCGCTGGAGGTAGGCGCGCCCGGAGCGGGGCTCCATTCCCGGTAGCGCCGCCTGCTCCCGCGGACCCAGCTGTCAGGCCAGGTACCACCGCCGCGGGGAGGGTTGGGGGGGCATGGGGGTGCCCGGCCGTGATGCCGCCGCCCCCGACGGAACCCGGATCCTCTCCGAAGCGCGCCCATGGGTGCAGAGAGGGGCTGCGTGAAACAATAGTGCCCGCGAGCGAACGGGGGCAGCCGGCGGCTGCATCCAGGGGGCAGCGCTTTGGCCGCCGAGCCGGCGGGGGAAGGGGCAGCGGGAGGTGGGAACGCCTGGGGTTCCTGGAGACGCAGGGCTTTAGGGGCAACGGGCAGGCAGGCTGGCAGACAGACGTGGCAGGACTGTGTGTGTGTGTGTGTGTGTGTGTGTGTGTGTAAGGTGCAGTCAAAGGGATTGGGGAGGGGGGACCCAAGGTGCTGGAGGGCGGGGAAGGCATGTCAGGCATCCCTGCTAGGACCCCGCATCCCTCCGCTGGCTCTCCGGGAGCCAGAGTGCCTGCTGGCAGGGATGGAGTGGGCAGGAGGCACTGGACGTGTGAGTGCAGGGCGAGCCCGTCCGGCAGGGGCGGGTTTGTAAAACCCCGTGTGAGTGTGTGTGTGTGTGTGTGTGTGTGTGTGTGTGTGCACGCACTCGTGTGGTTGCAGCCACGCTGCTCCGCGAACTGCGCTCCGAGCCCAGCGGGCGTGCGTGCGGGAGCCCCGGCTCGCGGTCCCCGCCGCCGGCTGTGGGACAGCGGTCTGTCATTCCTACCCTGCAACTCGAAGCTCCGGCTCTGCTCTGCTCCGGGCGTGTGCATGGCCGGGCGTAGAGGGATTCTCTCTTGCCTTTTCTCTGGCCTCTCGACTAGGGGATGTGGAAATGTGCATGTGGCGTTGGGCGCATGGCAGGGAGATGGGATCGTGGTTACTCACCCCTGTCTGGGCTTGCAGGTGTCCCTGGTTTTGCAGGGAGCCTCCATCCTGGGGCACGTCTCTTCCTCAGCCCCTGCTCCGTGAGGGTCTCCGCCGCCCTGACTCTGCAGTTTCTATTGTTTATCTTGTGTCTGAGCTCGAGGAGAAGGGTCTGGAATGGCCACAGTCCTCTCTCTCCATCCCCACAACTTTCAATGTCAGCTAGACCTTCCCACTCCACATGTGAACGTTGGGAAACCCAATATCTGAAGCAGGGTTGGGTCTTTCTGTTGGTCCTTGTAGAATGAACTCTGGAGGTTAGTGTAAAGAGATTTGGTCAAGGTGGAGGTGTTAAAAAAAAATAAAAAGGTCGTACTGAGTAATGTGTAGTACCCCATCTGTCATCGTCACCTAGGCAGGGCATCTTCCTCAGGAAAGGGGATACTTTATTCCTATTGCTTGAGACACCCACGCTCCCAGCTTTCACGGTGCCACATATCATTCGGGAACTGAAATCCCCCAAGACCCAAGGTGATGGGGTCCCGGTTGAGTGAACCATCCGGGTAGCCTGTGAATTTGGCAAATGGCAGGCCAGCAATAAGTCACTCCGTGGGAACCAGGACCAAGTACGGAGTCCAGATCCTGTAGCTGTTGGATGGTCTTTGCGTAATAAAGATAGGCTTGCGTGGGTTTGGGAGACAGGAAGGGAGAGAGCGTATTCCTACGTGTGCCCCACTGCAGTTGGACTTCCCGGCGCCTGTAGGTCTCCTGTGGTGTCTGTGGGAATGGATGCAGCTCTAATTTAATATATCAATACTTATTAAAATGCGGTGTGACTAGATGAACCTGTGTGGCACCTATTTGAACTCCAGCATCGGGAATTCCACTGCATTGCTGTTAGAATCCAAAGTGGCGGCTGCCCAGGTCCTATTTGGTAGCACTCAGAGCCACACGGATAAATACCCAACACATTAGTATGAGAGGCTCCTTTCTTTTTCTTAGAAAAAAAAAATTGTTTCATGTTAGCAAAAGTTACATGATATCATTGTTACCTTGAACATAATAAAAGTAGGTCTACCCACATGTGTTTCATTCTTCCCAGTCATCTTCTCTTTATTAATGATGATCGATAGGCCAGGTGCTCTTGAAACCGTGAACATTAAACATCCCTCTGTCCTTCACGTCAAACCTTCTACAATTTTAATGTGAGGTTGTTGGAGCTCCTCCAGGATTTAAGGATAGATTTATTTAAAAAATGAGTTTTGAATCTTAGTCCTTTACCTTCTTATTTGTTCTGCCAATTTCTTTCTGAGAAAAGTACTTAAGGAATTTAAAAGGCATTCTAAGAGGTTGACGCTTTTTTTTTTAAGTTATTGTGTTTATATTTGCATGGAAAATCCAGCGATGTAAATGTTGGACAAGAAAGCTTAAGAATATTAGACATTGCCAAGGTAAATAAGCTGGATAGAAAAAGAAGAATTATACAACAGCATAAAAACGGATGACTCAGGAATTAGTGATTTCCTTTCTCATGCAAATGTGATGATTGTCAAAGGCACTGCCTGGCTTTTCTAGAGGTTGGACTGGCGAGGTTATTGCGGCAGCCTGGATCCTGTAATTCAGTCTAGGACACAGTGGTACCTTCTGCTGTAGCCTGCAGCCAGCCATTTGCTTTAGATGGATGTGTTCTCTTTACCTACAGCAACACTAATGCTTTTCCTTTTCATTATTACATCTCTTAAAGAAGTTTGTTCTTCAGAAGACTTGGAAATAAAAAACATTAGGAAACTAACCTGTGGGGCCAAAAGGAATAAACTATCGGGGGAGATGGGACTTGTATTTTATAAGGGAAACGTGATTGTTGCTAAACTTGAGATAATTTCAAGCCTAAAAAATCCATAGTTAACCCTTTGGGTTACCATCACGAACTCACAAATATCTGTGAATTGCCTACTACATCTCAGGCACAGTGTACCTTTGGAAAGGATTTGGGAGATGTTAGGAGAGTTGGAGATTTGAAGAATAACTTAGATCCTGCTCAGAGGGAGTTCACGGTCTGGAAGGGGCGAGAGAGCATGTTGCATATAACTATCTATAAAAATGTTAGAAAATGCTTAAGAAGCCATATTTCTTGGGAGTTCACAAGATACACCAATCACTTCAAATGGAAGAATCAGGGAAGGTTACGTGGAAGAGATAGAAGGCTGAGCTGGATTTACACAAGTGGCGTTTGGGGTGGCAGGGAAGGAGGGGCAGACTTGGGGAGGCACCTGTGGTGGAAGGTGTGTGCCTGCACAGAGAACAAAGAATGGTGTGCTTGGGCTAAGCACAGGAAATATCCAGAGATGGAATAAGAGAGGTAATGAGGTGAGAAAGAGAGGTTCTTTCAAGATTGTGGAGCAACTTGCATGCAGATTTTATTCAGTAAGTACCAGGGAGCCATGGAAGGTTTATGAGGAGGAGAAGAAGGAGGGTTAACAGGATCAGATCTGTGCTTTAGAGCGATGAACTTACAGCATTGTGTTGGGTGTAATGAAATGGGAAAAGACTGGAAAGAGTGAGACCAGACAGACTGCAGTCAACTAGGTATAAGAGGAAAGGAGGCAATGGGTGTAAAGGGAAGGAGACAGACTCAAGAGACAGGGAGCAGGAATACTCTGAGCACTTAGCAGGGAAGTCAAAGGTCATTGTCAGGCTCAGTTGAGAGCATGATGGGGTCACTGTCAGCAGGTTCAAAGGAGGGTGAGAAAGAGGCAAAAAGAAATTTCATTTTAGGCATGGCAGGTTTGTTCAAGGGAAGGGACTAGAATACAGGTGTTGGTCTTTGGAGAGAGGTAGAGTTACAAAGAGAGGTTAGTAAGTCATCACTTAAGAGCAATTTTGATGTCTCAGGAATGGCCAGTAAAGGAAGGAAATGGAGTGAGAAGCAAAGAGTAAAAGTGGGGTCCTTGGGGGATGTCTGCATGTTAGAGGGGAAGAGAAGAAGAGAGCAATATTAAACAAGGGGCAGCTGAGAAAAAATGGTGGGCATAGTATGTTGTCATGGAAGCTAGGAAAGGTGAGGGGAGCTACTGATAGGAGCAAAGGGAAGCCAGCATTATAGGCATTTCATTTGGGCAGCTTCAGCAGGAGGCTGCAGTTTTGCACTCCTCAGGGAACTACTGGCCCATTCCCCTAAGATCACTGGAGGAAGGGGTCCAACAAAAGGAAGGTATATGCAAGCACAGTGAGGTTGGGTGACTAGGCAAGGTGCCTGTCAGTCAAATCTGGGAACAGAGCTCATTGGCCAGAGTAGGTGGAGCCACTGCAAGTGCATGAAAATTTGGGAATATGTAATCCCCTAAACAAAGGAGTTCGAATTCTTGTTCCACTTGACTCTTGGCTCATGGGGTCCTTTTGTTCCTGCTTCCTTGCATTTTCTGATGTTTCCTCCATAGCCATGTGGCCCTGTGGACTGACATGCAAGGTGGACTGCAATGGGGAACACAAACTATGCTAGCCTGATTTTAGACTGGACTCCAAATTGGAATGGAAGCTCTGGACACTAGCTTTTATTCTAGCTATTGAAGGCCCAGCTACACTTCTTCCTTGGCGGAACAAGGGGAAATGGGACCTTGGAAATGCAGGGACATAATTCCACAGGAATAAAACCATCTACAAAACCTCATCCTTTTGTGGGGTCCTTTGGAAATTTTTATTCCAGCAGTACACCAAGAACCCCACTCCCACCATCATTCATCACTCATACAGTGGGGGCGAGGTCACAACAAAGGAAAAACCATTGGCTCTGATCCCTGGCTTTCCCCCATTATCTTTGAGGGAGGTGGGAGTGGCAGCCAAGCCACGAGAGATGATGTACATGGACAACAGTAAAGACAAACTTTTTTAAAAAAAAATTAGTTAAATGGAGTGGGGGAAGGAGAGTTTGATGTGTCAAAGCAATGGCATATGGAGGGAAAGGAGCGTTTTTAGTATAGGAAGACTTGAGTCTACATTACAAGTAGAGGAGAAGAACCTATTGAAGGGAAGAGAGATTGAAAAATGTAAGGGAGAAGCTCACCTGCTGAAATGGAATCTTCAAGAAGATGGGAGAAGCACAGTGGATAAAGACAAAGAAAAGACTCTCAAGACAGAAGCATGGGATTTTTGAGGTGGAACTAAAGGAATGTGGCCATAGTATTCTAAGTATAATGTGGGCAAAAGAAAAGTGGGCAGATGAGGAGAATCTCAAAGACTGTGGAAGTGCAGCAGTGAATCAGTCAAGGGTGAATAAAAGATTATCACCCAATGATGAGGACCTTCTGCACTTGGAGAGCATGAGTTTAATTAGAGTTTGTAATTAGAGTTTGTCTCCTTCTTATGTAATTGTTGTGATAGTGAGCATTAAGTGTTCAGTACATTTGTGGCTCCTCCTTCTCTTAAATTTAATGAAAAGAAAAATATTTACTTTTAAAATGAGCCAAATAAAAGACTTTTTGCTGTGGAGCATTCCCTGTGACTATTCTCTCTCCAGAGTTGCTGACCTAAATAAATGAAGCTTATGGTAAAATAATGGAGAAAGCATACGTGTGTTTAAAAAGATGAGCTTTCCCTATTTATAACAGCAGGACATAGCTTTACAGTGAAGTATAAAGTCGATTTTTCAAAAGAAAAATCAAATATAGTGCCTCACCCAACAACATATCCATCAATAAATATTTGTCACATAAATACATAAATAAATTCATTTTTTAGTAAGGTAGGTATAGTAGCTAAGATCTAAAATTTCAGGATTTCTTATTAAAGTATATTTTATTGATTTTTTTTACAGAAAGGAAGAGAGAGAGATAGAGAGTTAGAAACATCGATGAGAGAGAATCATCGATCAGTTGCCTCTTGCACCCCCACACCCCACCGAGGATGTGTCCGCAACCAAGGTACATGTCCCCTGACCGGAATCGAACCTGGGACCCCTCAGTCCGCAACCCAACGCTCTATCCACTGAGCCAAACCAGTTTCGGCAAATTTCAGGATTTCTCATTTACACCGTGGACAGTAAATGAATTCCATCCTATGGCCTACACATGGGATGATAGGATTACATGATTTTATTTTTTTCATACCCGCTATGTATGTTGTAGTTTTACCAAAACCATTTTTTCTCATAAAACAACCCTTAAGTTAGGGGCTGTGTCGTGATTCCAGACGAGTTTTAGGAACTTCAGCTATGGTGAGTGATGATTTTGAGGGTCTAAATGATGAAGTCATTTACTCATTCTTCCAACAAATGTCCACTCAACACCTTCTCTGGGCCAGATACCCTTTTAGGTGCGAGGGATGCAGTAAGGTGCAAAGGGCATGCAAGGGAGGGTAAGTCCCTGCTGTTGCCCACCTCTTAGTGGGAGGAGATTTGAAAATAAATAAGCAAATATATTAATATGTCAGGTGGTGGTAAGTGCTCCGAAGAATAAAGCAGGGAAGGCAATAGAAGGCGACAACATAGGAGGTGATGCTACTTTACATGGGGCGATCAGGGAAGGCCCGGAGCAGAGAGCCGAAAGGTCCGAAGGGGTGAGCCATGCGGATAATGGGGGAAGGGCCTTCTAGACAGAATGTCAAGAGCCAAGGGCCTCGGTTGGGAATGTGCTTGGCATTATCCAGGAACAGCAGAGGAGCCACAGCAGTCCCTTGCATCACCTGGCTATGGACCTGATAGGAGGAGCAGTCCCTGAGGGACCCTGCAATGAGATGCTTTGCCCTTTGGTTCTGAATCAGTCGTCTACAAAGCTGTATCACCGTATGCCATTTTGGGGCTGACCTGTGTGTGCTGGGTGTGAGTCAGTGCTGCCTTTATAAAAAGATGCTCTCCTCAATCAGACATTTAAATTAGAAAGCTTGAAGAGTGGCTCTGTCTGGGTGGTGATGGAATACCAGGCAACTGGAAGTGCCACACCCTCTTCTGCTGTCTGCGTCTCCTTTAGTTATAGGGCTCCTTCTCTTCCTCCATGTCTCATGACCCATTCTAAGGAGTCCCATTCTGAGGCACTGTTTTTTTGTTCATCTGGGTATACCCGACAACAGAAAGGCTTTTTGCATTCGTATGGGATCATCGAACACTTACTGAAAGGAATGCATGAGACATTTCCAAAGATCCATGTACTTCAGGTGTAAAGAATGTGTGTAAAGCTCTTTTACTTTGATTTCTATGGACAGTCGTTTTTCAAAGAGAACACAACATAGCCACAGGATGCTGAAATAATGAATGCATGCAGTGCCCCAGACAAGTAGTTTACTAGTATTTGGGAGGTGACCCTAAGAAGCATAAGTGAGAAGGTAGAAAAATTAGATACATTTTTGAAGGAAAGAAAGCCAATGAGAGGTTGGCTTGCCCAGTTGATGTGGCTCAGTGGTTGAGCATTGACCAATGAACAAGGAGGTCACAGTTCTATTCCCAGTCAGGGCACTTGCCTGAGTTGTGGGCTTAATCACCAGGAGGGGATGTGTAGGAGGCAGTTTACCAATGATACTCTCTCATCATTGATGTTTCTATCTCTCTCTCTCTTCCTTCCTCTCTAAAATATATATTAGAGGCCCGGTGCACAAAATTTGTGCACTGTGAGGGGGGGCCCTCAGCCCAGTCTGTGCCTTTTCTCAGTCCGGGACCCCTTGTGGGATGGGCCTAAGCAGGCAGTTGGACATCCCCCTCACAGTCTGGGACTCCTTGCTCCTTACCACCTGCCTGCTCGCTGCTCCTTACCACTCAGCCGGCTGCTCCTTAGTGCTGCCAGGGAGGCAGCAGAGGTTCCTGCCACTGCTGCTGTGCTTGCAGGCCATGAACTCGGCTTTTGGCTGAACAGCACTCCCCCAATGGGAGCATACTGACCACCAGGGGCAGCTCCTGCATTGAGCATCTGCCCCCTGGTAGTCAGGGCACATCATAGCAACCGGTTGTTCTTGTCATTTCACCATGACAGTCGCTTAGGCTTTTATTATATAGATATTTTAAAAAGAGGTAAGCTAATGAGCAGATTACCACTGTGGGCAAATGAGGCTCCGTTCTGCTGGTCTTGTGTAGAATGAACTTATGATTGTGCACCAAGTTGTAGGCAACCTGGGATGTTTATCCACCCTTTTACATGGGGGCAGAAATTCCAAGCACTTGAAGGCTGCCATTAGGCCAGGCTCGTTCCAGGGGCATCAGAGAAAGCCCCTGGGCAGTTCAGCAGAGAGGCAGAGTGGGCTGGGGGTGGGGAGCTGTTGGTGTGTAGGGGAGCTGTCCACCAACTGTACTCAGAAGTGGGCTGAGGAGATATGAGGCAGGGCAGCACCAGCCTCTGTTTCACATGGCACAGAGAGAACAGAAGGAATTTTTTGATGGATGAGAATTGGCTTGATAGCATCTATTGGTATTTTAATTTGGGAATTGTAATGTAGTGCAATAGCGACCTATAGTTCAGTTCACTCAAGCCAACTATCGACAATCCTCAGTGATCTAGGATACAGATGACCATGTATAAAATACCCTCGGTTATAAAGTGGCCCCCACTTTTCCCAGGAGAAGGCTTTTAAAAAGATCTTATACCAACTAGGATAGACACATTTCCTCTTCAGCCTCCTCCTTGACTACTCCATGTGGACTGGTTAATGTGAAAAACACAGCAGTGGTTTATTTCATAAAGAAAATGGTTAGCCCATCATTCTGAACACTGTAATCATTTCTGTTTCTGACTTTTAGTAAATTTTGTAATTGGAGACCAATTCTGTATTAATGAACATGGACACCTACTTTTAAAGAAGCGGTTCAGTCTCTGTTTTGGACACGGTTAGACTTCATGATCCCTAGGGAGAATACAGTTTACACCATGTCCTAGCAATATGGGTAAGTGTATGCAAACAAACACACATGCACATTTACGCATGCACAAGTCACTGAAACAAAAGTTTTGAAAATACATGTCCTTCATTATATGTAATACACTCTGATATTTTCTATTCTCCTAGAGGCCCAGTGCATGAAAATCGTGCAAGAGTAGGCCTTCCTTTCCCCGGCTGCCGGCAGGCACCCAGGAGGGCTTCTCTCCAGCTGCCGGCAGGCACCTGGCACCCAGGCTTCCCTGGAAGCCCCAGCTTTGTCTGGAAGGTCACCCGGTCTAATTAGCATATTACACTTTTATTATTATAGATGTGGTTGTGGGTCCACTCAGCTGATTTCAGCACGAATGAACGAGTCCTGACACCCAGTTTAAAAGCACTGTTCTCTTGTGTCACATCCACCAGTAGAGCGCTTATTTCCATAAAGTGTGAAGTAATTTCATGTCAGAAGGGCTCCCCTCTCCCCCATTTGTCTCAGATTGTTAGCACACTTGGATATTCGGCAGTGTGGGTGTACAATGTCACAATAATCCTAAAGGGAAAAACGTTCTTTTTGAGTAAATATTTTCTTTCCAAAAGAAGAAATTATTAGTGTGGAAAGTGGGAAGTAGAGTAAGTTGAATGGATCAGTTCTTGAATCTGGTGGCTTTGTTCCCAGAACCTGAATGTTTCCCCTTGGGTCTGCCTGCCTGCGCACACTGGCCCGAGGGAGTTTGCAGTCAAATGGATTAACAGATCAATAACATTGGCCTCCTAAGCAGGGGTATATGTACAATATTCTTGTTGGATTTGGGACATTTGGTCTCCTGAATGTGGAGTGGAGGAGAGGAACCCAACTTACCTTTGATGACTTGCTCCATCCATTGCTCCCAGTCTGAGATGTTGAATGTGTGTCTGACCTAAGGCATGCCTTCCGCACTAGACCCAGGCAATAGCCGATAGACCCCCACCGTCAGACTGGGGTTATGTATTTCTGCGAAGGTGGTGGCCCATGGCAGGGAGGCCTCGCCTGTAACAGGTGGAAACTGAAACGAGAAAGTTAGAGACTAGGAAAAAAAAAAATCAACTTGGATCACAGCCAGATGGTTTTCTTTACTTTGGTGAAGTCTAGCTCGGGTTTTCCTATGTTCTCCTTCTGAAGAGCTTCCTACAGTCTGCAATGGGCTCGCAGGAACCCTCAGGTGGTTGAGCGGTGGTTTCTGATGATACGGTCACTTGGGTGGTAGGTGGTAAGTCTGGAGCCTGCTTAACTTGAGCTTGGTGAAGCCAGGGCTTGGATCCTAGTTTCATAGGAGAATTAGGGGTTAGTAACATGTGATAAGGGCTCACCCACATGGGTTTAAGTTGATCATTAGGACATTTGTTTTTCCAGGATTTTAAAGTCACTCCATCTCTGGGGTTGGAATGTTGTAATGGGACAACTGTGGGTACTTCATCCTGTTAGAAGAAGATTTATGAACAGCAGTTAAAGTTAATCCCAAGGATTACTTTTAGAGTGTCTAATTCTTTCGTCTTTGGGTCATGAACATTTCTAAGATTTTTCTCTAAGACAGGAAGAGAATTCCATATGATATTTCATAAGGACTCAGTTGGGTCCTGCTCCTGGGGGCTACTCCAATCCTGAGCAGGGCAACAGCCAATGCCATTTATGCGAGTTCTTGGCAAAGTCTAGCAAAGGTATAAAGTGTGGTGCGCCTTCTCTGATTTTCCAGTACATTGTGGCCTCCAGGAGGCGTGAAATTTCTTTTGTATTCCTGAATGTTGAGGAACTTTCTGTGTCACCGTGGCAATAAAGGCACTTCCATTGTCACTTTGAATAGAAGAGGACAGTCCAAACCTAGGAGTGATTTCTTTTAATACGGCTTTTACTGCTTCCGAGGTCTTCTCTGACCCGCACATCATGGTTTTGCAACCACGCCGAAGTTAGGAACCCCGATCTTACAAAAGCTAGCCATTTCCTGGGAATCCCCTGAGCTGTTGGCAGATGGTGGCATTGCCATCCTAGCTACAGCTTCCCGCCTGCCTGATAGCAAATTTCTTTGTCCTGGAGATAATTCAAATCCAAAACCATCCTAGAGGGCTAGGATATGTAGGCTTTCTTTTGGGAAATGTCACCTCTGTCCAACCAGAGAGTATAGGTATTTTTTTCAGGGGGTTCTTTTGCTGAGACTGGTGAAGGTCATCAACAGACTGGAGTGACTTGTCATTATGCAGCTGAAGGGTAGGGGCATACTGAGAAGTCTTCAGCAGTACTGTCTTTACCTTTAAAGTCTGGGTCCTCACATTCAAATGCAAACAGCTCTTGAGACTAGGGGCTCAGAGGTACCCAAAAGAATGCATCTTTTAAATCTAGCATAGAAACCAACAGAATTCCCTAGACAAGGTGGTTAGCAAGGTGTAGGAGTTAGGGACCACCAGGTGGATGAGGTGATGACGTCCACTATTTGGTTAATGGCCCACAAGTCCCGAACAAACCATTATTTATTAGTGCTTGTTTCTGCGCCAGTAAGATGGGAGTTAGAATTTAAAACTAAATATAATTAGTTGTAAAAACCCTCGGTTTCAGCTTTGCTGGGGCTGTGTAAACTGTGCCCACTTGCAGGGCCCTTACCTCATGGCTGGACTGATTAGTCACTGGCCTGGCTAATCTTTCCTCACAATTCTTTCCTGTTCTTTTCCCTTCCTGCCTCTTTCCCAGGATGCCACCCCCAAAACCCTGGGAGTGTTAGACATTCCGTTCAGTTACTTAATTCTCCATTTTAACCTAATGTATTTCTCCCCAAATGTGAAAATAGTTTTTACACCCAATTAACAATTTTTATTCCAAATAACTTGAGCGTACAAGAATCTTTTTTTTTTTTTCCCTGAGCCTAATACGTAGGGGAATTTTGTGCTAAAGGAGCTAGAATTTGTTCCACAGATGGTATGTCTTCATAGCATTAGTATGAAAGTCTAAGGCAGGGGTCTGCAACCTTTAAGACATAAAGAGCCACTTGGACCCGTTTCCAAAGGAAAAAAAAAAAACCTGGGAGCTGCAAAACCATTGCAACATTTAAAACAAATATAACGCTGCATATATTGTTTCTTGCCTTAATGCTATATACCGGATCGTGCAGTTAGCTGTCAATCTGAAGAAAAAAAGGACTTTTTCACTTAACAATGTAAAATATATTTTTGCAAATTAATAGCTAATTAAAATATTTAATTTACCTGGCTAATGGGATTTTTGCTCCTGAACCTCAGTGCACAGTGTCAGCACATCAGGGCTGTAAGACGTTACCTTCATTTTCACACGGGCTTGCCAGTTGTCGGAGCCGTGGTAAAGCTTCAAGAGAGCCGCATGCGGCTCTGGAGCCGCAGGTTGCCGACACCTGGACTAAGGAATCTTGTGTTCAGGTATGAGTGCATCCTTTATGCCTTGCAGGTTGTCTAAGATAAATACATCTATATCAGTTCCTGTTTTAAAACCTCAGCAGGTTCCCAATCCAGTGAATGAAAAACAAGTTAACATCACAACCACAAAGCACCAGACACTTTGCTAAGTACCATACACAGTTAACTCATTTGCTTCTATAACCACCCCACTTCCTCTTCAAACTCTTATCAGGAACAGATACTCTCAGTGACTAGAAGAAACATAGGTGTGACTTATGTCACAGAAATAGAAACAGGCCCCACAATTCCTGTCCTCAGTTTACTTTGTCCTGGGCCCCTACCCCACCTGCCCAGTAGGACTGGCTTGTTTGTGGTGCCTCTGTCCCATGGGGGACGTGTGTGTGTGTGTGTGTGTGTGTGTGTGTGTGTGTGTGTGTTACTGTTGCACTGACATCTTTCTAATCTCTACCCCATCAGGTGCAGGCTCAGGACAGCTGTAATTGGGGGCTGCCACTGCTTAGCTGCCATCCTTGAGCAAGCATCTGGATTTGGCGGAGCCTCAGTTTCCCCAGCTGTTAAAGGGGGAATGATGAAACCTGCTCTTTCTCTCTCTCTTCCCACAGAGAGTTGCTGGGAGGGCCGAACGCACTATAAAGGGTTACAGAGAAGTGAGACAGACGTGTCACTTCTTCACCGTGAGCTTGGGCAGAGGCGACGTCTCCCTCCTCTAACCAGGGGTCAGCAAACTAGGTCTGTATCACAACTCTGAGCTCTGCCCTTGGGGCACAGAAATAGCCACAGACATTACGTAAGCCAGTGAGGGTGGCTGCATTTCAATAAAACTTTATTTGTGGACACCTATGTGTCCACTGACATTTGAATTTCATAGGACTTTCTCGTGTCACAAATTTTGATTCCTCTCTTGCTCTCCCCCCGCCAACCATCTATCTATAAAAGTAAAAGCAAGCCTCTCCACACTTCCAGCTGCATAAAACCAGGTGGTGGGCCAGATTGTCTCACGGACCTGAGTTTGCGGACTCCCGGGTAAATGCTCACAGCACCCTACACCACCGGTTAGCAAGCAACCGCAGTTCACTTTGGACTACAGGAATGCTGCCCCCTTTATTCCATCTCTCTCTTCCAAAATATACACCCCACATACATACCTTCCAAAAATCTCCTTCAGCACTGGGAAGGATAGTAGCATAGAGCTAGAATCCATGTGCACACGTATGTATATATAGTATAACAGAATACATATTTATTAAATTAATGGAGATAATGAAATCTGTTGCTTTCTGTTATTTCTCCATCTTTAACATAAATTCTGCCTGTTCTTCAGTAAACCTTAGGGGATATTTGAATTAACTTTTTGTTATTAAATGTAAGGGCTTTAAGATTCATGCTTTCAAGTCCCCCATCACCTCATCAACCCAACCTCAGCCCCACCCACCTATTAACCAAAAAAGGAAAAGAATTGCATGGAAGAAGGGGAAAACAAAACCAACATTTCAGCATTAAAAAAAAGTGATTAGAGAATAACGGAAGTGGACAAACATTTAGCCTTGGCCCCTGGGGCTTTCCGTTGTTGTAGGAGTGTTGAGGCTGAGTGCTTTTCTGTCCCAGCTGCCAGCAACCCCACTATTTGCTGTGCTTTCCCAAAGATTGAACTTGGGGGCAGAACTCTGTGCATTTGGCTATAAAATAAAGCGGACCTGGAAAACTGAATTTTGTCTTTACACCGCATCTTTTTATATTGTTATTAATCCTCACCGGAAGGTATCTTTCCACTCATTTTTAGAGACAGTGTAAGATAGGGAGGGCAAGAGAGAGAAAAAAACACCTCAGTGTGAGAGAGACGCATTGATTGGTTGCCTCCTGCATATGCCCTGACCAAGGCCGGGGATCGAGCCTACAACTGAGGTATGTGCCTTTGACCGGAAGTGAACCCAGGACCCTTCAATCAGAGGGTTGACGCTCTACCCACTGAGCAAACCAGCTAGGGCTGCACCATCTCATTACCTGTGGTGCACGTATTTCCCCAACACGTGTCAAGGAATCACCTCCATCTCTGAAAAGCAAAGCCTCGATCACAGCTCCTGTTTTACTTCTGAATAAATATAAGCTGGGAATAGAATTATCAGGAAATACATAAATTGAAAATGCTCTTCTCAAAACGAGGTGGACACAGTTGGATGGTGGAATCACAGCAGTGTGTGTACGTGTGTTATTTTTCTAAACATTCTGAGACAAATATGTTTCTCTGCACTCTATCATGTGGAAATTATATATGTGGATGCACATGTGTGTGTTTCTAAGGGGTGGGAGGAAAGGAATATGCTAAAAAAAAAAATGGAACCAAAAATCATTGTTAGTTTATAATCCTTATTAAAATTGTGAAGAAAGGGAGCAATTCAGTCAGCTTTCGAACGAGCGCTTGACTTTTTTAGTCTGCCAACATATATTCATTTGCTGTAACGTGGACAACAAGATGCACAGCTGGTGTAAAATAAATTTATAAAGTGTGCTTTCAACTTGGCATAAATGGTTAGCGCTCGGTAGATGCTGTCTAGCCTGGAAGATGGAATGCTAAGCCCGTTTAGAAGTGCGCTTTACATTTACGTCCTGCGAGGTCTTTGAGGCCTGTCTGGGGAGGAGTGGAGGCTGAGGGGCTCAGGATTTCGTGCCTTATTATGTCTGAGCGGCTCCAGGTGAGACACAACGCATTAGCCGAGGATGGAAGACTGTTTCCAAAATTGCCCTTAGGGGATGGAGGCAGAGGGAACAGGATGGGGGTCAAGAATGGGGGGGGGGGGGGAAGCAGGCTTCACCAAGAACTGCAAGGTGGTGGGAGGTAATGAACCATCTGTCTGCAGTTTCTCACGTGGGATGAGAAACTCCCCTGGAAGCTGAGAGGCTGAGCTTATGAAGGAGCAGGGTGAAAGTTTCGTTCACTATGTTAGCTGCACGGTGAGTCTGACCTTTGCTTCTTTCTCTTGTAACCTTCCCCTTT